ACACAGGGAGCAGCACGAGGGGACAGCTTGTCCGCAGACAAGTCGCGGACAAACGCCCGAGATCCCCAGACACGGAACGCAGACGCATCGCCGACCTTCCCCGTCCACAGCAGAGCTGGGGAGGTCTCCGGCCGGGAGACCCTGGGGTGAAGGTTGATCTGATGCGCCGCGTACCGAACCGCAAACGGCCACAGAAAATGGGGGGCAGCCGCATGCATCATGGACGTACGAGCGACGTCCATGACCATGCCAATGCGGCGCTCAGCAATCCCATTTTGCTGTGGAGAGTCCGGAAGCGTAAAGGTCTGGCGGATGCCTCGTGCACGACAGTAGGCTCGCAGAAGGCCAGAGGAGAACTCTCCACCTCGGTCAGAGTGCAGACGCAGAACAGGAAAGTCCGAGCCGAAGCTCCTCCTGAGCTGGAGACGAGCTGCGCGGATCCAGTCGATCAACACCTCAGTGACATCACCCTTGCTGCGCAAGGGGAAGACTGTGGTGTAACGCGAGTAGTCGTCAACCACCAGCAGGAAGTAGCGCTCGTGACCCTGCCCACGGACGCGGGCCGGGCCCCACACGTCCATGTGAAGCGTCTGCAGAGGAGCCTCTGTCGGGGGAAACTGGGAGGAGTGAGGGGCAGCCCGGAGCCGCCCCTCGACACAGGGGACACAGGAAGGTCCGGGTCCCGAAGGAAGGGGAGGGAGAGACCGGGGAAGACCAGAGACAAGGACATGGGAAGCCATGCCCCGAGACGAGGCAAGGAGGGGTGGCCAAGACGGTGGTGCCACAGGAGAGTCTCCTGAGACAGGCGGCGACACGAGCAGGGGGCAGACTCAGGACCAGACCTGGACGCAGCAGCAAACACCTGACCCGACGCAGCTACCTGGCCAGACGCAGGGACAGGAGGAGACTCAGTGGTCAGGGTGTAGAGACTCGACCCCGGCCGACGCGAAAACGTGGCCAGGTGTCGGCCTGTGCGGGCGTCCGAGCAGTGGGTCACCCGCTGACTCGCAGGAGTAAACTGGTGAACCCCCGCATCCTGCAGGTCAGCACCACTCACCAAGTTCGTCGAGAACGAGGGGAGGTACAGACCAGACAAGGTGCCCGAGGGGGCAGCCGGACACGGGAGGACAGTGGAGAAGTGAGAGAGGACAGGACCCCCAGAGGGGTCAGCCAGGGAGACTGCAACCGGCCGGCCAAGCGGCGTGAGTGTGGTGCGGTCTCGAAAGAAGGAGCGAGAAGCCCCTGAGTCAAGCGTGAAGGTGAGGGAGGCCGAAGCCGACGCAGTACCTGAGAGCGCAGCCTCACCAGTACCTGAGAGTGCAGACGCACTGGCACCTAGAGCAGCAGCCGCAGAAGTACCTAGCGCAGCAGTACCAATGCCCGGGTCGGGCGGGAAACACCGGTAACAGTCACCCTCCTCACTAATAGTCACAGCATACATGGCAGCAAGGATAGCATCAAAGTCAAGGTCAAAGATAGCTACGCCAGCCCTAGACAGCTCTCCCCAACGGGGAATCTCACTAGCCTCGGGGAACTGCTGACGCCAAGCGTCCGTCAGGCGGCCAAAGCAGCGCTGGGTGGGGTGGGCACCCCCACACTGCTCACCCGCGCGGTCGCCGGAACGAAGGACGTAGGTGCACGGACCAAAACCCCCACCCCGCTGACGCTGCGTGTACCACTCACGGAGCTGCTGGGGCGGGGGGATGTCCCGCGAACGCTGCTGCTGCTGCTGCTGCTGACGCTGGCCACCACCAGAGCCGCTACGCTGCGGGGCACCACCCCGACCAGCTCCACCCCCTCCGCCACCGCCGCCTCCACCTCCACCACCGCCGCTGCCTCCGCTCCCACCGCTGCCGCCACCACCGCCTCCTCCTCCGCTGCTGCCACCGCCACCACCGCCCCCGCCACCACTCCCACCGCCACCCCCACTCCCTCCGTCGCCTCCACCGCCACCTCCACCGCCCCCGCCAGTTCCACCCGCGCCCTTGCCCCCCTTGCCCCTGCCAGGGCGGCGTCTCCCGCTAGGGGCAGACGCCGCGCAGACCGACTCAAGACCAAGCAGGTCGGCAGCAGCAGCAGAGGCAACAGAGGGCAGCAGGGGGGAAGGAGAACACCCCTCAAAGATGGGGGTGCGAGGGTCACCACGAGAGGCTCCTACAGCGACGATGCTCTTCTCCGCCGCCAGGAGGGACGTCTCGAGGAGGTCGACAGTGAGAGTGGTGGGACAGACTGAGAGGAAGTGGTCCCTGACTACGCGAAGGGAGTCAGGGAGGCGTGTGACTATGTAATAGAGAGTGATGTACATGGGGGGGGGGTTCTTGGCGCAGAACTCAGCAGGAAGGGCGGCGCGGTAGCGAGTGTCACTAGTGCGGAGGTGCGTAATGAGGTCAGCGACAGTGGGAAAGGCAGCAAGGTCAGGAAAGAGGTACGGTAGCATGAGGCGGCTCAGGGCAGCAGTGGCAGGGGAAGAGTAGCGCTCAACTACAACGTCGTACAAGGTCTGAGCACTCTTGTACTGACTAAAGTGCGCGCGCTCAGTGGTAGGCAGGTGGCGACGCACAGCAAGACGTGCAGCAGCATCGCGGGTGGCCCACTGAGAGCGAACAGTGGGGTCAGCATCAGCAGCAGGGGCAGGAGAGGCGCCAGAGGTGAGGTCAAAGAGGGAAAGACCGTCCGCCCTATCGCACTGTAAGAACAGCTGCAGGTCGTCGACCCAGACCTCAAAGTCAATGGCTCGACCCTCAGCGTCAAAAGCGAGGACACTAGGGGTAGCCATGACGACGACAGTGTAGTAGTGCAAGCAGTAGGGGAAGGGCACGCAGTAACAGTGGTGCTGTGCTCACCAGGCAGGGCAGGTCGGGCGGCTCGGCAGTAGGGCGGCCCGGCAGCTGGGCGGCTCGGCGGCTCGGCTGCTGGGCGGCTCGGCTCCCGGGCGGCTCGGCGGCAGGGCGGCTCGGCGGCAGGGCGGCTCGGCGGCTCGGCTCCCGGGCGGCTCGGCGGCAGGGCGGCTCGGCGGCAGGGCGGCTCGGCGGCTCGGCTGCTGGGCGGCAGGGCGGCTCGGCGGCAGGGCGGCTCGGCGGTCGTAGGCGGCGGGGCCGGTGAGGATAGGCGGCGGGGCCGGTACCGTAGGCGGCGGGGCCGCGAAGTGGGGCGGCGGGGCCGCGTAGGTGAGGGCGGCGGGGCCGCGAAGTGAGGGCGGCGGGGCCGCGACGTGAGGGCGGCGGGGCCGCGAAGGTGAGGGCGGCGGGGCCGCGTAGGCAAGGGCGGCGAGGCCGCGACGTGAGGGCGGCGGGGCCGCGACGTGAGGGCGGCGGGGCCGCGTAGGTGAGGGCGGCGGGGCCGCGTAGGCAAGGGCGGTGGGGCCGCGACGTGAGGGCGGCGGGGCCGCGACGTGAGGGCGGCGGGGCCGCGACTTAAGGGCGGCGGGGCCGCGTAGGTGAGGGCGGCGGGGCCGCGACGTGAGGGCGGCGGAGTCGCGACGTGAGGGCGGCGGGGCCGCGTAGGCAAGGGCGACGGGGCCGCGACGTGAGGGCGGCGGGGCCGCGACGTGAGGGCGGCGGGGCCGCGACTTAAGGGCGGCGGGGCCGCGTAGGTGAGGGCGGCGGGGCCGCGACGTGAGGGCGGCTGGGCCGCGACGTAAGGGCGGCGGGCTCGCGTAGGTAAGGGCGGCGCAACGGGCCGCTAGGGGCGACACGGAGGGTCGCTAAAAAAAAAGGAAAGCGCGCCTCGGGGCGCGCTTCGGTGGGCCCTAGAAACAGTCCCTAGGAGGGGACCTGCTCTGATTCCATGTGGAGAGGAGAATGCGAATGAATGAACTATGAATGAAGTGAGTACATATAGGAAACCCTAATTGGGTTGTACCCCCTATGGGATACCCCACTATAGCCTACACAACAGCATAAGCTATATGATGTTCTGACAAGCAGCAGCAGTCTAGCAGTAGTAGTAGCACGGGCAGGGCAGGCGCGGCAGGCAGGCAGGCAGGCAGGTAAGTGCTCACCAGTGGCGAGAAGGGCAGGCTCACAACGGCGGCGACGGCGGGGCCGCGACAGCTGCGGCAGAGCAGGACCGCGTCGGAGGAAGGGCAGGTCCGCGACAGCTGCTGCAGGGCGGGGACGTGACGGCGGCAGAAGGCTCCGCGGCACCTGCTGCAGGGCAGGGCCGCGACCGCGGCAGAAGGCTCCGCGGCAGGTGCTGCAGGGCGGGGCCGCGATGGCGGCAGGGCACTCCTCGGCAGCTGCTGCAGGAGCGACGGCGGCGTCCAGGGGCAGCCGCGGCGCGCGGGGCTGCAGCGCGCCACGCGAGCTGCAGACGTGGCGCGCGAAGCCGCCGTGGGCTGCGCGAGGACGGCAGCCGCAGCGCGCGGGGCTGCAGCGCGACGCGCGGGCAGCGAACGCGACGCGCGAGGCTGCAGCGCGACGCGCGGGCTGTGTGCGCGACGCGCGGGGCTGCAGCGCGACGCGCGGGCTGTAGGCGCGACGCGCGGGGCAGCTACCTGGCGGGGCGGCGCCCTGGCCTGACGGGCCTGCAGGGGCGGCGCGCAGGCCTGACCTGTCTGCAAGCGTGGCGCTCTGGCGTTAAGGGCCTGCAGGAGCGGCGTTCCCGCCTAGGGCAGCAGTGGGCAGCACGAGGGCTGCAGGACGGCGCGCGCAGCGCAGCACGTCACAAGGCAAGGCAGGCAGGCAGGACAACACATGGGGTAACACGGTAACCGCAACGGTAGGTGGGCCCGAAAAAAAAACGGTCCTACGGACCTAGTGCTCTGAAACCATGTCAGAATCAAGCAGCAGGAATGGATGAACTATCAAAGAGTTGGGTACAAGTATGAAACCCGAAACGGGGCTGTACCCCATATTGGCTACCCCACTACAGCCTACACATATATAACATGCATATACTCACCCACGCACTCACATTCACCTGCGCACTCACACTCACCCGAGCAGTCACACTCACCTCCGAACTCACTCTCACCTTCGCACTCACACTCACCCCCGCACTCACACACACTCACCCCTCCACTCACTCTCACCCGCGCACTCACCCGTCGTGAATGATACGCGATGCGGAGGAGAGGCGACGGAGAGGATGCGCGAAGGGGCGGAAGCGTCGGGGATGAGAGGCGACAGTGGGGGGGCGATGGAGAGGAGAGGCGACGGGGAGGAGCGACGGTGGGGGAAACGACGTGGAGGAGCGACGGTGGGGGAAACGACGGGGAGGAGCGACGGTGGGGGAAACGACGGGGAGGAGTGACGGTGGGGGAAACGACGGGGAGGAGCGACGGTGGGGGAATCGACGGGGAGGAGCGACGGTGGGGGAATCGACGGGGAGGAGCGACGATGGGGGAGGAGCGACGGCGAGGGAGGCGACGGGCACGAAAGGCGACGGTAGGGAAGGCGACGGTGGGGGAGTGACGGGGAGGAGAGGCGACGGTGGGGGAGTGACGGGGAGGAGAGGCGACGGTGGGGGAGTGACGGGGAGGAGAGGCGACGGTGGGGAAGGCGGCGGTGGGGGCGGCGACGGTGGGGGAGGCGAAAGTGGGGGAGGCGTGGGGGATGAGAGTCGACGGGGAGGAGGCGCGACGAGGAGGAAACGCGATTGGGAGGAGGTTCGACGGGGAGTAAATGCGACCGGGAGGCGGGGTAAACGGGGAGGAAATGCGACAGGGAGGAGGCGCGACGACGAGGAAACGCGACGGGGAGGAGGGGCGACGATGAGGAAAAGCGATGGGGAGGAGGGGCGGCGGGGAGAAGATTCAACGGTTGTACGTGGTACTAAGACAATGCAAGTCAATGGGTTAGGTACTACAGAGTAGAAACTGGAAGATGAAGAAGAGCGACTGAAAGGTGAGCGACTGAAAGATGAGCGACTGAAGCAAGAAACTCGAATTTGTTTTGAGAAAAGCAACACGGCGGCTTTGCACTTCGGCTGGACACTTTCGGGGCTGGTCCAAAACAAAATTTCTGTTTGAACCAGTACAAAACGAAAAGCCTAGGTACCAAGGCAAAATCATCAGACATGAAACGTCATGTGCCTACTCGAGAACGAAATAAAAAATCTGGGCACTTCAAAATCGAAAACACCTCATTGATATGAAGGGGGCGTCACGTGAAGACACACACTTCAAATTTCCAACTCAATATAAAGCTGACACATTTCATGTGCATAATGAGTCAGTTGCAGAACAACTCGACTGCCACAACCCCTCTATAGCAAAATCACTAGTTTGTATAATGTAACATTGTTAACTTACTATTGATAAAATCATATTCTAGAATGATCACTACCCACTCAACAATCTGGAGTAGTACCTTTGGTATTTTGTTGCCGATAAAGAGAAGAGAGTATGGCATGGCCTATGTAAATCTAACGTAGTACATTTTCCCATACGATAATATTAATGTTGTGTTCGGTGTTAAATTCTACGCAACCCTTACGACGTTCACGTCGAGCCTTGTTCTTTCTGGAGAAGCTACCGTAATTCCGAAATCACCTCCTCGCACCTGCATGAACGGTTGCACCGATCTTCACCCGTGCGAAATGGGGCCGCGCGAATCGCGCGACGCGCATTCCAGTCCACAGCAGCTCGACGGGATGTCCTCTGTGCTCGCGCTCTGTGATTGTGCGAGCGCAATGTGGAGTCGGTTGCGTCGAAAGCATTGGCTTCGCTGATAGCAGCGCATTTCAGGGTGACGCTCGCTGCTTCTCAACTCCAGAAATAGCATATTTAAATCCAGACACATCTTACACCCTCGTCGCACACCTGTCCTCCTCGCGACATTCGCCTCGTCTCAAAACGTCAAGACTAAACTACTAGACTACCGACCGGAAACGTCCGTGAATGGGTCGTCCCAGTCAACCCTGAACGAACCTATCCCCTGATCCGCCGGACCTACGGCCAGACCTACTATCAGGCACGCACCTAATCCGCCGAACCTGCGCTCGCGGACTTTATTTCCGACGTCGCCTTTTTAATGACACCCGTCAATTGGAACCCCTCCCCCCTCCTGCTGGTGCTGCTGCTCCTAGCGGGTAAGCGGTGCTACTCGAGGAAATATAAGTTGGGCCCAAAACTCACCTCCTCTGCAGGTAACCTCGGGGAACCGATAATTCACTACAAGTCCATGCACGAGCTTCCTCCAAGGTTACAGCACATTGACCCAAATTTGCTAGAGTGTTCCCTCTACCCTCTTGTGATAGCTAGTACACCAACTGGATCGATTAGCGTGTACGTCTTCTATACGAGGAGTGGGTGCGAGATATAACGCCTCGCTACACCACTGGGTCAAAACGGGGGCTCTTGAGAGGCACAGCAGATGCCTTTTTCAACCCCAGTAGTGTAAGCCCGAGGGCGTTGCACGAGACGACCTCCGCGCTCACAGCCGCTCATGGCATGAACCCCTTTCTCCCTGTGCGCTGTCGCTTGTTTTACTGTGTGCTGTGCTGTGCTGTACTGTACTGTACTGTTCTGTGCTGTGCTGTGCTGTACTGTACTGTACTGTTCTGTGCTGTGCTGTGCTGTGCTGTGCTGTGCTGTACTGTACTGTACTGTACTGTACTGTTCTGTACTGTTCTGTGCTGTGCTGTACTGTACTGTACTGTACTGTTCTGTGCTGTGCTGTACTGTTCTGTGCTGTGCTGTGCTGTACTGTACTGTACTGTTCTGTGCTGTGCTGTACTGTTCTGTGCTGTGCTGTACTGTACTGTACTGTTCTGTGCTGTGCTGTGCTGTGCTGTGCTGTGCTGTGCTGTGCTGTGCTGTGATGTGCTGTGCTGTGCTGTGTTGTGCGGTGCTGTGCTGTGCTGTGTTGTGCGGTGCTGTGCTGTGCTGGCAGGCTCGCTGGACACTCCGTGGACGACCATCCGCACTGCCGCTCTCGCGGTAAGCTCACTCTCTCGCAACGCCCCGTTTAAGATTGTCCTTTCCGCTTCGCCTCCTTCCCCCCCCCTGCTATGCACCGGCAGTGCTGACCTTTGAGTCCACTTTCGGTAAGCCGAAGCTCCACCTTATGTGGTATTGCACAGCGCCTGCACCGTCGCATGCACCATCACAGGATGCACCGTCGCACGCACCATCACAGGATGCACCGTCGCACGCACCATCACAGGATGCACCGTCGCACGCACCATCACAGGATGCACCGTCGCACGCACCATCACAGGATGCACCGTCGCACGCACCATCACAGGATGCACCGTCGCACGCACCATCACAGGATGCACCGTCGCACGCACCATCACAGGATGCACCGTCGCACGCACCATCACAGGATGCACCGTCGCACGCACCATCACAGGATGCACCGTCGCACGCACCATCACAGGATGCACCGTCGCACGCACCATCACAGGATGCACCGTCGCACGCACCATCACAGGATGCACCGTCGCACGCACCATCACAGGATGCACCGTCGCACGCACCATCACAGGATGCACCGTCGCACGCACCATCACAGGATGCACCGTCGCACGCACCATCACAGGATGCACCGTCGCACGCACCATCACAGGATGCACCGTCGCACGCACCATCACAGGATGCACCGTCGCACGCACCATCACAGGATGCACCGTCGCACGCACCATCACAGGATGCACCGTCGCACGCACCATCACAGGATGCACCGTCGCACGCACCATCACAGGATGCACCGTCGCACGCACCATCACAGGATGCACCGTCGCACGCACCATCACAGGATGCACCGTCGCACGCACCATCACAGGATGCACCGTCGCACGCACCATCACAGGATGCACCGTCGCACGCACCATCACAGGATGCACCGTCGCACGCACCATCACAGGATGCACCGTCGCACGCACCATCACAGGATGCACCGTCGCACGCACCATCACAGGATGCACCGTCGCACGCACCATCACAGGATGCACCGTCGCACGCACCATCACAGGATGCACCGTCGCACGCACCATCACAGGATGCACCATCGCACGCACCATCACGTACGACTGCTGTTGAAAACTCGCCTATTCTGACATAAGTAGCCTAATGGTAGTGCTTCATGCATGCTTTCCGCCCCTGCATGCCTCTTTCCACCCCTACGTGCCTCTTTCCACCTGCGTGCCTCTTTCCACCCCTGCGTGCCTTCTAGGGGGTACACTACTCTAGGTTTGTGGTACTTGTACTCCCATTCTCCTGCTAGTCATCATTCTCGTTCACTTCTAGATTCTAACATGGTATCCGACGCCTAGGTCAGGACCTAGGACCGACGTTGGTTTGGGCCCACCGTTCCGCCGCGCCGTCGAGCGCCCCTACTAGCGCCGTCGAGCGCCCCCTCTAGCGCCGTCGAGCGCCCCCCTTCTAGCGCCGTCGAGCGCCCCTACGAGCGCCGTCGTGCGCCCTCGGGCAGCCGCGCGCGCCGCCCGTCAGCCGCACGCGCAACCGTCCGCACAGCCGCACGCGCAGCTGCCCCAGCCCGTCGCGTCGCCCCTGAGGGCTGCCTTAGCCCGTCGCGTCGCCCTTGCGGGCTGCCCTAGCCCGTCGCGTCGCCCCTGAGGGCTGCCTTAGCCCGTCGCGTCGCCCTTGCGGGCTGCCCTAGCCCGTCGCGTCGCCCCTGAGGGCTGCCTTAGCCCGTCGCGTCGCCCTTGCGGGCTGCCCTAGCCCGTCGCGTCGCCCCTGAGGGCTGCCTTAGCCCGTCGCGTCGCCCTTGCGGGCTGCCCTAGCCCGTCGCGTCGCCCCTGAGGGCTGCCTTAGCCCGTCGCGTCGCCCTTGCGGGCTGCCCTAGCCCGTCGCGTCGCCCCTGAGGGCTGCCTTAGCCCGTCGCGTCGCCCCTGCGGGCTGCCCTAGCCCGTCGCGTCGCCCCTGCGGGCTGCCTTAGCCCGTCGCGTCGCCCTTGCGGGCTGCCCTAGCCCGTCGCGTCGCCCCTGAGGGCTGCCTTAGCCCGTCGCGTCGCCCTTGCGGGCTGCCCCAGCCCGTCACGTCGCCCTTGGGACGGCCGCCCCTGGCCCCTGGAGCAGCCGCCACTGCAGCGGCCGCCCCTGGCCCCTGGAGCAGCCGCACCTACAGCCGCCCCTGGACCCTGGAGCAGCCGCCCCTGCAGCAGCCGCCCCTGGACCCTGGAGCAGCCGCCCCTGGCCCCTGGAGCAGCCGCCACTGCAGCAGCCGCCTCTGGACCCTGGAGCAGCCGCTCCTGCAGGAGCCGCCCCTGGCCCCTGGAGTAGCTGCCGTCGCGGCCCGGCCCCGCCCTGCAGCAGCTGCCGCGAAGCTCCCTGCCGCGGCCCGACCCCGCCCTACAGCTGTAGCGGCCCCGCTGTCGCCGCCGTCTTGCGCCTGCCCTTCCTACCACTGGTGAGCACTGCCCTGTCCGCACTGCTACCGCTGCTACTGCTGCTACTGCTTTTACTGCTCCTGCTGCTACTGCTGTTACTGCCACTACTGCTGCTACTGCTGCTCCTGGCGTGGCCAGATGCAGCTCCCGGGCCGTCCGCGTGTGTCCCTCACGCCCCAGCAGCTTCGTGAGTGGTACGCCATTTGGGGTTGTCGGGGTGGCCGTAGTGGGAGTCGTCCTGGAGTCGGTAGTTCGGGAGCTTCTTGTAGTGGCCCGGTGCAGCAGCAGCGTCGTCCGCGCGAGACTCTTTCGCCCCAGCAGCTTCGTGAGTGGTACGCTCAGAGTAGAGGGTCGCTGAGTACTGCTCGCTGCCCGTACGTTATTAGCACGGGTGCCCGGACTGGTCAGCCTTGCGGGACGCGTGGTCACACAGAGTCCCACTGCTTCGCCCGTCTGAGCGACGCTTGGCGTACAGAGTTTGGCGACGACGCTGAGCTCCCTGACTGGGTGGAGCTACTTAGGGAGAGGGTAGATATCTTTGCTTCTGACTATGATGCTATCCTCACTGCCATGTATGCATTGTCTACTAGTACTGAGGGTGCCTGTCACCTGTGTGTGCCGCCTGACCCCGGTATCCAGTCTGCCGCTCTAGGTGCTAGTGTGTCTGCTGCCCCAGGTGCTGGTGAGGCTGCTGCTCTAGGTGCTAGTGAGTCTGCGCCCTCTGGTACTGAGTCTACTGAGGCACTGCACACCTTCACACTGGACTCAGGTGCTTCTCGCTGTTTCTTTCGTGACCGCACGGCCCTTGAGCAGCTTGCTCGGCCGGTTGCAGTCTCCCTCGCTGACCCCTCTGGGGGTCCGGTCATTGCGACCTCCTCCACTGTCCTCCCTTGTCCTGCGGTCCCGTCGGGCACACTGTCAGGTCTCTACCTCCCCTCGTTCTCTACGAACTTGGTGGCGGGTAGTGCGCTCCAGGACGGGGGTGTCCACCAGTTCACCCCTGCCTACGAGCGCGTGACACACTGCACGTGCGCTCGGACGGGTCGCCACCTCGCTACCTTCACTCGGCAGCCGGGGTCGGACCTGTACACACTGACCACTGAGTCCCCTCAGGTAGCTGCGTCTGCGTCTGCGTCAGGTCAGCTGTCTGCCCCCTGCTCGTGTCGCTCCCTGTCGCACGAGACCGTCCTCTGGCACCACCGCCTTGGTCACCCGTCAGTGCAGCGCCTTCGTCGCATGCACTCCCGGTACCTTGTCTCAGGTCTTCCCAGGGTTCTCCCTCCCCTCCCACCCTCGCCTGCTCCTCCCTGTCTTCCCTGTGTCGAGGGGCGGCAGCGCGCCGCTCCTCACTCCTCCTCGTTTCCCCCGACGACTGCTCCCTTGCAGACGCTCCACATGGACGTGTGGGGCCCAGCCCGCGTCCGTGGACAGGGTCAGGAGAGGTACTTCCTGATCGTTGTTGACGACTACTCGCGCTACACCACGGTCTTCCCCTTGCGCACCAAGGGTGAGGTCCCTGATGTTTTGATCCCTTGGATCCGCGCTTCTCGTCTCCAGCTCAGCGAGCGGTTCCACTCGAACTTTCCTATCCTGCGTCTGCACTCTGACAGAGGTGGTGAGTTCTCCTCCGACCTCTTGGCAGCCTACTGTGCGGAGCACGGCGTCTGCCAGTCGTTCACGCTTCCGGCCTCTCCACAGCAGAATGGGGTTGCTGAGCGCCGCATTGGCTTGGTCATGGAGGTCGCTCGTACCTCGTTGATCCATGCGGCTGCCCCCCACTTTCTGTGGCCGTTTGCGGTCCGATACGCTGCGCATCAGCTCAACCTCTGGCCCCGTGTCTCCGTTCCGGAGACTTCGCCGACACTGCGTTGGACGGGAGAGGTTGGCGATGCGTCGCGTTTTCGGGTCTGGGGATCTCGAGCTTTTGTCCGCGATACGTCCGCGGACAAGCTCTCCTCCCGCGCTGTTCCTTGTGTTTTCCTTGGCTTTGTCCCGGACGCGTCTGGTTGGCAGTTTTACCACGCCACCTCGCGCCGTGTCCTGCCCTCTCAGGACGTCACTTTCGACGAGTCGGTGCCCTACTACCGCCTCTTCCCCTACCGCACTGCCCCGCTCCCCCCCCCGCCTCTCTTCCTCGCGCCAGGTGCTGCTGTGGTAGACCCCCTCCCCCCTCAGGGTGCCGCTCCCTCAGGTGTGTCCCAGGTAGACCCGGTTGAGCCTGTCGAGGTAGCTGTCGACTCTCGTCCTGCTAGGGGTGCTGAGCCTGGGGGTGCGGAGCCTTGGGGTGCGGAGCCTGGGGTTGCGGAGTCTGGGGGTGCTGAGCCTGGGGGTGCGGAGCCTGCGGGTGCTAAGTCTGGGGGTGCTGAGCCTGGGAGTGCTACGTCTGAGGGTGCTGAGCCTGAGAGTGCTGAGACTGAGCGTGCTACACCTGGAGGAGCTCTCTCCTCACAGCAGCTACGTGAGTGGTACTTACAGTGCTGCAGCCTCAGGAGGGGTGCTTCTGGAGCGAGGAGTGCTACTCGAGCTGGTGCTTGTGCTTCCCCTCCTAGGCGAGAGCTGCCCTCTCCCCAGCGGCTCCGAGAGTGGTACGCTCGGCGCTGCAGTCTCCGGAGTGGCGCTCCTAGTGTCGCGGACCCTGGTGCTGGAGCTGCTGGCGGTGCTGCTGGCGCTGCTGGAGGTGCTGCTGCTGCTGGCGGTGCTGCTGGCACTGCTGGAGGTGCTGCTGGTGCAGGTGATGCTGGAGCTGCTGGAGGTGCTGCTGCTGCTGGCGGTGCTGCTGGCACTGCTGGAGGTGCTACTGGTGCTGGTGCTGCTGGAGCTGCTGGAGGTGCTGCTGGTGCAGCTGCTGCTGGAGGTGCTGCTGGTGCTGGAGCTGCTGGAGGCACTGCTGCTGCTGGCGGTGCTGCTGGAGCTGCTGGAGGTGCTGGTGCTGGAGATGCTGGAGCTGCTGGTACTGGAGGTGCTCGTACTGGAGGTACTAGAGCTGCTGGGACTGGGCCTGCTGAGGGGGTTGGAGCTGGAGGTGCTGAGCGGTCGCGGCCGTACTACGTTCCGCTCCTTCACCAGGTTCTTGGCCTACCGCCCTCTCCTGGTCCTGCTCCTCCTCTACTGAGTCCACTGCCTGTCCAGTCGCAGTCACAGTTACAGCCAGCCTCTCCACTGCCTGGTCCTTCTCCTTACGCTGAGCCGACGGGAGGTCTTACGGAGCGTCGTGAGCCTGAGTCTCGTCCTCCGTCGCCTGAGACGCGTCCAGAGTCGTCTGAGTCACGTCCAGAGTCGCCTGTCCGCGCTGTCCGCGCTGGTCGTCGTGCTCCGCGTCAGCGTCCTCCTCCTGTCCTTGGCACTCACTATATGACCCTGCGTCCTTCCACTGCTCCACAGCGTGTCCCTCTGCCGTCTCCACCAGCGTACTCTCTTCCTGCTCTCGCAGACCCTGAGTCTGACTCTCTTCGTGCTGCCAAGCCTACTGTCACGCGTCTCCTTGTCACTGACCCTTCCTTTGAGTCCTCTGCTGCGTCTGCTCTAGTCGCTGAGCTTGTTGACTTTGCTGCCGCCTGTCGTCTAGACTACGCCGCTAGCCTTGTTGCTGAGTCTGAGTCTGAGCATGTCTGTCCTCCGTCCGTCGGGGGTGAGTGTGCTCTTGGCACGGACGTCCTTGAGGACAGACAGGAG